TGACCCTAATTTCATTCTTGATCTTTTTACTTGTATAAACTGGGCTAATATCTACGTTGATCTTCCGACTGAGGTCAGCCAACTGTTTTCGTACTACATTTGCAGATTTCTGGTCCTTGTAGCGCAACACGATTCTGACTGGGGTTTCTCTTTTATCAGCCATTCGGGTTTGTGAATCCTCAGACACTTTTGATTCAACGAATCTGCGAATGGTTGACTGCACAAGGTCGTCACTATAGCGCAGTCGGGAGAAGATCTCTTTAAGGCGTTCACATTCCTCATGAAAAAACTTCCACGTAGATGAGAGTTGAAACGCACGGTTTAGCATGGTGATCAGCAGTCAGAATCGTGTTGCCCTACAAGAAGCCCCAGTGCACGACATGGAGCCAGAAGACGTCACACAGAGTTTTCGAATCTTAAGGAAGTGTCAGAACAAATTTGACTGTCTTGTTTTTGAAATGTTTTTTATCAAAGAACTGAAACCAACGCTAAACAAACAGTGCGATTCAATTCGCGCCAAACTATTTGTTTAGAACAATTCGTGCTACGAATACAAATGGAAAGAAGTAAGTATTTATTTGGAAAGGCAGACCACATTGTTGATCTTTGGTAAGTATTCTCATCAACCTTTTAGCTACTCATTTATAATTTACGTTAACGAAATTAATAAGTAATTTTTTCTGGCATAAAAATTTGAATTTTTCAGCGCTTTTTTTAGTAGGTAGTGTGTCGTGATTTGTACAATGTCGTCAAGAAAATGGAGAACGCGTTATTAAGATTGGCATGTTTCAGGGCGTGTCGCCTAATGTGTCCTACAACGGAAGTAGTTTCACATTACCACAAGAGAAAAATTGTTAGCAGTCAAGACTACTGATCTTCAGTCATCAATAATCTTTGTAAGCGAGAGAGTTTGTTGTTCCAATTAAATCAGTTTACGACAGTTTTCATAGTAGGTCCCTCTTGTAGTAGATAGTTTGCTAAACTGTTCTATGGCCTAATCATGTATATTTCTTTATTCAGTTCCTGAGAAGATACTACTTTTCGCTGATGCTAGTCGGAGTCAAATATATACATTGTCTCTAGACGAATCAAACACGAGCGCCAAATTATTACCTATGACACATCAGATGTATTATCCTGTGGCACTTGATTTCGACATTACAGAAGATAGAATATATTGGACGGAATCATCTTGGCCGACTACAATATCTAGGGTGTTCATTAATGGGTCGTCGCCAGAGACTGTCATTTCTAAAGGTGTTAAATATCCCTATGGGCTGGCGGTTGATCCAGTGGGAAGAAACATCTATTGGACTGATCGTGCCCTCGGCAAAATTGAAGTTAGCAGAATGGATGGATCAATACGAAAAACTCTGATTTCCCGAGATCTAGATAGTCCAAGAGATATAATCGTGGATCTCGACGGAGGGTAAGATCCTTATTAGGTTGGTAATAAAGAGGGGGTGAGGCAGTGGAAAGTAAATTTAACAATTAATAAAATAAATATCTCTAACACTGCTTAGGAACAGCATGTGAATCAAAGTTCGGTTTTGCCTGAACCAGGAACAAAACAACACTTATTTACAAGCACCTTATTGGCGAACTACGACTCACTCACGATTTGAGTTGTATTCATGTTTTTCATACTCATGCTGGTTGTCAACTCCTCGAATTAGTACTAGTCTTGTATTTGATTGACTTCCTTTCGTAATTAAATACAGTTTGATGTATTGGTCCGACTGGGGTACAAGCCACAAAATTGAGGTCGCTGGTATGGATGGAAATAACAGAAGTACACTTGTTAAAAGAGGGCTTTACTCGCCAAACGGGCTAACTTTGGATAGTGCAAATAAGAGACTGTACTGGGTAGACGCATGGTTCCACGTGTTGGAATACTACGACTTAGAGCGTCATACGATTACAACAGTGCTTCAAGACAGAAATATTTTATGGAACCCATTTGGTTTGACATTATTCGAAGATTACATTTACTGGACCGATTCAAGTCTGGGTGTTGTTTACCAGGCGCCAAAAGACTCTCCGTCAAACGCAACGGCCCTCGTTAACAGTTTATGGAGTCCAAGGGATATACATGCGTATGACAGGAATCAGTCTTTACCAGGTATTCGATTGGCTATCATTATCAGTCTTCGCAATTTTCGCAATTTTCTCTCGCTCTCTTACACCTCTGCTCGTTTCAATTCTTGTACCAGTTGTATGAAACAATTTCCAGCAATTACGCTCTCTACCAAGCCTGTAATGATACTGACATCCTCTGGTTATACCTTTCTTTTTCTGCTTTAGATCATTCGCGCCGGGAGACTACCATTTGAATTTTCGTCAGTCCAAAGTGATGCACGGAAATATTTTTTGTTGGCTTTTTTCTAACTTTGTCTAATTTTCACAATTATTCTTAATAGATTTTAAATCAATGATTATTTCTTCTGTTACTTCCATTTCAGACCATCCCTGTTCCTTGTCCTTTGGTGGATGTTCCCATCTCTGCCTTCTGAGACCAAATGGATACAAATGTGCATGCCCTGATAATCTCAAATTGTCGAAAGATGAGAAAACATGCATCCCACAAACATACAGTAAGATGTATACGACGTGCCAGTCGCATTTGTAACTACTTAGACTCTTAAGCTATAAATAAACAGCTTTATGAAGAGAAAAGCAAGAAAAAGCAATAGGCAAGTCGGAGCTTATCCCGGTTTCCTGAGCATGAACCGATATGGAGTATTACTACTTCCCTTTGGATAGAATGTTAGTCCATCGCAAGGTTACCCACCAGCATTTCACCAGGCTTTTCTGATAGTTTACTGGTACCCATTCCTACTCCTGGGCAGAGAGAGGCACTGTGAGTGTAAAGTGTCTTACCAAAGAACACAACAAATTGATCCGGCCAGGTCTCACGCCCAGACCTCTCGACCTGGGGTCCAGTGCACTAACAAGTAGGCCACCGTGTCTTGCACGACGTGAAAAAGATATTAATCAACTATTTCTGTAACGCTGGATCTCAGCTAAAATACTCCTATCGTTTTGGTTGAAACTCAACTTTTGTACCGTTGATAGACTTGCAGCCATAAGAATAAACTCGCACCCCTCATTTTGCAATGCGGTATCAGTTTCTGCAGTGAATCAAAATGTTATTTTGCCTTTATTGAGCTCTCTGAGCTATGAACTTTATTCGTTTAGTTTTCCAGAAATTTCTGCTGTTTGCTGATTCTTGGCATGCACAAATATTCATTCTCGATTTGGATGATTCCAATCTTTTGGTCAAAGTTCTGCCGATAGGAGCCTTCATGTATAGACCACATGCACTTGGAATGGACATTGCAGACAATAGAGTCTACTGGACAGACGTTAGCCTAAACAGTATCAGGAGGGCATTCATCAATGGAACATCACCAGAAGTTGTCGTTTCTGTAAACGTGTCTAACCCTGCTGGACTTGCTGTCGACCCAGTGGGAGGAAACATCTATTGGAGTGACACTGTCACCAAAAGGATCGAAGTCAGCAGAATGGACGGAGCCATGAGGAAGGTATTGATAGACAAGGATCTAGACCAACCAAGGGATATAGTTCTTGATACTTCCAAAGGGTGAGTACTTTTTCTTAGACAGCTGAACCCTCTATTGCTGCAGAACAACTTAAATAAACTCGTGTTTAAAAAGAAGCTAATTAAGTAAGTTCTATAGTCCCATGCATGCTTTTAGAATCATTCGACTTTTTTCATAGACGAAAGTCTGTCCCTTTGTGGAAGTAAAAGAAAATGAAACAAACTTTCTACTCTTTACTATGGACAGCAATTTATTTTCAGCATTAATAATCTCAGATTTGACAAGTGGTCTTTAAACATAAACAGTTGGTATGCTTTTAGCTCCTATTGGGCAGGTATCAACTAACAAGAGTCTGCGAAGCCATATATCAATGCCAATGTTTTTCAAGGAAGTAAAATCCCATTTATGTCTCACTTAACTGAGCAAGCTAGAGATGCCGTCAGATTTCCTTCGCAGGCCATATGCGAACGTTTTCACCTACAAGGATCATTTATCTTAAGTATACTACTTGCCTGATTCTCTCTGTTTTTAAGGTTTATATACTGGTGTGATAGGGGTACCGTGCCTAAGATTGAAACGGCTAACATGGACGGAAGTAGTCGGCGAATATTGGTCAAAAGAGCATTATACTGGCCAAGCGGTCTCACTTTAGATGAAGCAAATAATCGGCTCTACTGGGTAGACTCATACCTTCAAATTTTTGAATACTATGATTTTAAACGTCATACTGTAACAACTGTGATCAAAGATGGATATAAACTGCCTTATCCATTCGGTTTGACGCTGCTCGAAAGTCACTTGTATTGGACGGATTGGAGCTCACGCGTTGTTTATCGAGCGGAACAGAAGACACTTTCAAATAGGACAGTTGTTGTCAGTGGCCTTGGTCAACCCATGGATATACACGCGTATGACAGAAGCAAACTTCTCCCAGGTAAACTGACGCCTAGCACTTTAGCTTTATTGTTTTTTCGGTCTTCTCCCGAGTCATCCCCTCTTAGAACATCCTAATATAATGTCCACAGAACCGTCTACATTGGGCGATAGCAATTTAGACCAGTGCAAAAATTATCGATAGGTTGCCTAATACTAATTAACTCGACTGAAGGCATGCAAAATGTGGTAGTATAACTAATGCATAATTTTGTGCAGTTGTCGGCTCTCATGAAAAGCCCAACAAAAGCTAATATTTCTCAGTTTTTCGCACAAGTTATCGCGATAGTTTTAAGCAAGGAATCCACACCATTAACTTGTTTTCCGATTATGACACAAAGATACTTACCAGTTTTCTTTATTGAAACCATATCATGTTTAGGTATGCAATTGGCTGGAGGAAAACTCGTAGTTTTTCGTACGAATTAGGTAGAGGTCGATTCAAAAACTTATCTTAAAAGTAAACTGGTTAACCTCGCATTTGACATAGTAAAGAGCGCTTGAGTATTTCGAACCAATTTATTTTCCAGCAGATCACCCTTGTTCTAAGTCCTATGGTGGGTGTTCTCACTTGTGCCTTTTAAGACCGGATGGTTATAGGTGCTCCTGTCCAGACTAACTGCAACCCAGTGAAAATTGCTCTACTTCTGGTAAGTGTGCTATTTGAGGATGGCCGTTAGGATTCGACCCAGAATATTGAGAATTTTAGAGTCAGACATACCCTTGTCAGACGTTTTCCTAGTCAGGTCCACATAAAACAAAGCAACGAGAGATGAACCACGGCTTACTTTACTCGACTAGTAAGCTCAAAACATACAATCCGGTTGCTAGTGTCAACAGTGTCCTCATACATATGTCTTTGAGCATTATCTGTTCCTCTGAGCCATTAGCTTTGTGTGCAGAAAGGCATTTGCTTCTCATAGCAATTAACGTCAATAAGAATTTTCCCTCCAAAAGGAGGCTATTGTTTATTAATGTCTAATCAGAATCCTTCTTCTCCGACATCAGTCCACCTCTATTCTCCACCTTCTTCAAGTGCGCCTCAAGCCACAACTTTACCGACCACCACTCAGCAGTCATCCACCAGACACCAATCGACTCCCCCTGGTCCTTATGATTGTCGTTCGAACAAGTGTAAAAACGGAGGATCTTGTGTAATCCCTGGTTATTTTTGCGAGTGTCCGAAGTATTACGTTTGGGACCTCTGCCTTGTTTATGTTGGTAAGCTTGAATCGATTAAATTGTGCTTCTACTCTTTCTTTATCCTTCCTTAAGAAAGTGGGCGTCCAAATATTTTTAGGAGGGTCTTGCATTAGATGGGAAGTGGTTATGTTAGGTGGACTGTATCTGAAGATCGCAGAGGCACCACAGACATTCTATTTTCTCAAACCAGACCGCAATATTTGGTCTTCTAAATCTATCTAAATCTAAATCTAAATGTTTAATCTGCAAAGGGCAATACAGCCCTTGGTAATAGAAAAGTAATAGTCCTGGTAATAGAAAAGTGTTCATCCAGTTTGCTTCTAAAGCAGCTCCTATTTATCTAGCCTATTTGGTCAAATTAGGTCATTTGTTCCCTTATACCACAGAGAATCAGTATACGGAGAAGATAGTAGAGATGTTGATGTACTGGACCTGAGACGTACTTTGCTGTTGTCGCAGTTACGTCCTCTTTAAATCTACCATATGCACTAGAAGTTTGGGCGACAACTTAGTCAGGAACGGGCCAAAGATGACAACTTTTAAACGGAGTGAATTACAAACTAGATTGCAAGAATTCCTATTCTCGAGCGATATTAACGGAAAGGATATCAATGATGTTCCCCTTTACGCCAGTAGTCATTGAAAATCACTAGGGTTAGAAAAACACGAGTATGGACGTGGGATGCTAATCACAAAACAGCTTTTATTTCAATGCAAAGTTAGCTACAGAGCTCATAATGAAAGAAGAGATTCTGCTCAGAAATAAGAATAGTTCTGGCTAGAAGGACTTCTCAGCATCTCGTGAAATGTTAAGTACCTCTCAGTAGCATCCTCGTAATTGTAAGAGGTTCTCTAACAATATCCCTCCTATTTTAGGTTCAAGCGCCGTAGAAGTAGAGGTAAATCTTCAAAACGAGGTAAAGATGCTGCGTTTTATTCGTGCTGACACCTTTCGCCCCTCTTTTCCCCCAAAGGAAATGTAAGAGCGGTTAATTTCGGTAGGGGACGTTAAAGAACCCCCACCACGAGATTACTGTGAAGTGGTCTGGCCTGGTTACAGGGAATGGGGGGAGGGGGCATCTGTAAAATTTCTTCTTTATTTATTGTAAACTGCCGCCGGCAGTCTGGAAAAGTCCCCGCACAGTGTTGTAAAACGCATTAGAGCATTCCATGGAAATGCGCTGTACAAATCGATATGTGTTATTATATCATTAATCAATTTATTGTTGAGGGAAGAGGTAAACAAATTTTATTTATTTTCCTATCTTATCCCGATCATCAACCTCAACGATGACTGACTCCCTATATGATGGTCATATCCAATAATCGTGTATGCTTTAGAAAGAACAATGGCTAATGCTTCCCGGCATTTGATTAAACACCTAGATATGAGAAGTATTTAGCCTTTTTCAAGTGGACTTTGAAGTGAGTTCCCAATGTCGGATCCTTTGTTCTGTCACCAAGTACGTTTGTTTAGTGGATTCGCTTTTATCTCTTCCACGTTCCACAAAAAAACAGTCTAAGTGCGGTATGGAGCCAGAAGCTGAATAAACTTGAGGTTGTCTTTAAATTGAACGAACTTCTCACGAGGTAGCACTTTCCTATTTTCACTTTCTTCAATTCTGTTTAGAAACAATGGATAGCGTATAACTTCAAAGCAGCAGTGGCAAAGGCTTGCTCGAATTTTTTTTGCGGGGATGAGGAATGTGGAAGGTAATGGTAGGATTTGATTTATAAACTTAGACTCTTTACACTGAAGGCTTTTTCTAAAAATTGCTTTTCGATACACTTGCAGTAAGTCGAAACAAGATAGTCATTCAGAAAAGGAAAAGAAATTCCTGGCTACCGACGCTAAAATACTCGGACTTTCCATTGGCGGAGAAAATACTTTGAAAGTAGAAGTAGCCGTTTTATTTCCATCTGTGGAAGGCCAGGTTCCTCAACCCTTACCTCGTGCTACACTCGAACAAATACTCCAAAAAAATGAAGAAAGTCTTGGGGAAGCCATTGGAGGCACAATCATCAGGATCGGTAATGAAATTTTTACCTTTACGCACCACACTAGAGAAAGCCAATCAGTCAGTTTCTTTAATTATCGTGAAAACAAGCGCTCTTTTAGGTTAAAGGAAGACAGGTTTCGACAAGGCAGTCTGTGGGTAACCAATGGTTTAATAGTCCATACTCTGGCCTCTACATCAGTTGCTGCAGAGTTTCAGAAATTTAGAGATATCAAAGCTTGAAGCTGGGTTAATGATGAAGAGAAAAAGGAAACGTTTTGGTTAGAAATTGAGCTGAAATATTCTCATAAGCCATCCCTTCAATATGCTATTTTATAACATTAAATAATGGCTACCTTAGAAACTTTTCGCTGATTTAAGTAACTTTTATTCTTTTTTTTCTTTTGTTTCGATTTGTTGTTGTTTTTGTTGTTGTTGCTGCTGTTTTTGTTGTTGTTTTACCTTTATTTTATGTTTTCAATTAAGTGGTGAAAAGATTTCTGTGACTCTAATTTCCAATAAAAGGGTCAAATATTGTCGATATTCACCGGAACGTTTTGATGATTACCGAAGAATACATTTTCATTTCGCGCACTCTTCCTTCACAAAAACGATACCATAGACTTAAAGTAGTGAGACTCCTTCTCTTGGACACTGTAAACTAAGTTAAGCGACGATTCCACGAAAATCGTTTGCATTGGGCTAGACACCTGAGTAATATCTCGAAGTCTACGTCAAACATTACGGGGAATACTTTTTTCCTATTACTATGTTTTTGGTGCTTGTGTTATATGAGCTTACATACCATGGCCTGTACAAAAACTCAGGACTTGCAATGTACCACGGCTAGTTTTAAATATCTAACACATTGTGACTTTTTTAAAGGCAAACGACAAGTAGAGAACCCAACAAATAGTGAAAGGTCTACTCCAGATAAAGAAACGTCGAACGTGCCAATTGTCGCTGGTTTGGGAAGCACTGTTGTTGTGTTGGTGCTAATTGTGGCATTCTTCGTTTATCAAATGAGGCGGTGAGGCTTAATTTATTTTTTTTAATTAATCAATCAATCAATCAATCAATCAATAAATCGACTAGTCATTATGAAGGACGCCCACAATTTTTTTGGTTTTGACATTTTCAATCCTGTTAATCTTCTTTATCCTTGTCATTTTCATTCCTTTCTCTTTGCAGTCTATTTGTTCATGTGCTTGTTGGGTCTCAGTTTATCCCAGAAAACTAGTCAATATTTTATAGTTTTATTCAATTTCAAATCACTTACCCTCCGGCTACGGTCAAAATGACGCAAAGCATCGTGACGTAGCCCTTTTGAGCTCGTAGACTTCCCAATAAACTGCTGCCACATGAAAAATTTCACTTCTTTTTTATATTTATATACCTGAAAACGGAGCGAATAAACAAGACAGTAGGGTATTTATGAGGAAGGGGCTGTTGTTGTGGTTGTCTTCCTTTCTCTTAGCAAAATGTCTGATTTGCTTTGCAGGAAAAGAAATAATGCAGGGAAAAGGACAGACGAAATCTATTTGGACAGTGACTTTGTACGCCCCAGAACCAATTCTATGGTTGCATTTGAAAACCTAGGATATTATGCGGAAAACCCGATGCATGAATCAATCCACAGAAGTGGATCGGTGGTATCCAGACAAGAGCCAGTCAATGGGGTTGGATCCTTGGAAAACAACAGCGCAACACAGGAGGCACCCGAAAAAACGTTCCTGAGTAATCCAACCTATGGTTTGCCATTCGCTGAAGATCCTGCAATCATAGAAGATTCTGAAAATCGTTATGCCACTGTTGAGCAGTAGAAGACAGAGCCATAGGTGAAAAAATCCTTGGTGACTGATGAAGTTAGTTATAGAAGTTGTAGAAAAGTACAAAGGGGAGTGATAGTAACATGCTTTTGCGAAAGTGAATTGGGTTTCCCTGGCAATTGCACTTCGTTGTTTACTTCTGAAGATAAATCTAATCAACGGCTCTAGCTACAGAAAACCTGCTGGAGTTGATATTTCCACAACACTCTTATCGGCTTCAGAGAAAAAAGCGAACTTTCGGGCTCGATCTTTGAATTAAGGAAGATACTTTCAGTTCCTTTTGTCGCCGCGAACTTGGCGCAAATCTTCATTGTCATCAGTTTCCCTCCCAAAAACCGACGAAAGTGCATATTTTTCCAGCGACATTGCCAAGGTAAAATTGTTAGTGTGAGTTTTCCTTTTATATCTCTTTAGTTTGCCTTTTGATCTTTCTTTAGGTAGGAGAAGTACAGGGCCACAACAAAAATCTGATTTGTATAGATTATCGCAATAACTAATTTTTTTTAAAACAGTACGTTGAAGCTGCGCTTTAAAACTGATCCAGTTCTTGGCGGCGGTAGAACTATTTTGAGTGTCTACTCAGAAAAATTGTGCGTAGTCTTTGTTTAGCACTAGCTTCAGCACAATTACTGCTGTCCACATAACGGCTTCTGTTGGAGATACTTTGAATGTCATTACCTCTTGAATGTTTGAGGAAGATCTCCCTTGCTCTCTTTTTTATATGCAATAGTTGTGGGTTATCAGGTAGCAAAGTAGAAAGAATTAGGAATTAATCGTAGTACTCTTCCTGCAATTCATGATATTCCTAACCACAGTGTTGCAATTTGAAATTGTTATATGCACCTTTCTGTTTTGTTGTTATAATATATTTATTCGACTTTTGGCTTTTGAGTCGAATACGTTTTTCTCTTTTTAATCAAACGATTTTTTTTTTCATTCTTATCATAAAATTTACAATTTCCTTTATTGTGACTGGTTTAAAAACTCAAATCATTTTCCACAGTTGTTATCGGACAGTCTGTTATTGGACAGTTTAATTATCAAATTACATTCAATGTTGTAGTTTAAATCAAATTTCTCCTTTCCTTCACAACTTGGCTATATTATTTTTCTCGGGAAATATAATTTTTATTGTTTTTTATTGTAATTATACTCATGATAAATAAATCGGACTCTCACTGCTCGGTCGTCTGATTTTGTTATTACTCGTATGATTGGATACCAAATTTGTCTCCACTCAGACCAGTTATCATTTTTTACAGATATTCATTCATGGTGTGAAACCCTCTGATTGAGCGGAATGAAGTTTCTTGAGATAGTTGAATGTCGTAAACAATTAGATATTTTTTTATCATTTTATACATATAATCACACTTAGAGAGAAAAGAATAAAGATCAAGGGTTAATCACGTTTCAGTGTTTACTTTCCATTTTACTATCAGCCCTGTTAGTGTTTTTGCCTTGCCTAATATTTTTCCTGTAGTTAGTTCGTTAGATATTTCTTGTGCCCGTGCTTCCGACATTGTTTACTATTTTTATCTTTTGACTACCAGTTTTCTTTCCACTGACTGTTCTTTTATTTATCGATGCCCAAATCTTATGCCTTATGCTGTCTCTTTTTCGCTCCCCAATGCGCTATACCGATACAGCATTCCATCATCTGTTGAATTTTTCATCTTGCACTTTCTTTTCCGTTGTTCATCCGTTTCTTTTTGCTTTCCCTTCACCAGCTCTTTTCTGCCATCTTGTGTTTCCTTCTGCGTGCTTCTGGGTGTTTTCCTTTGGGTGCGTGCGCCAAGTGTGTGCCTTTATATCTCCTTTTTTCGGCATCGTAGTTCTTTTCCGCCTTCCCTGTAAGAAACTAATGGAAGCGCAGTCCTTTTCTTAAAAGTGCAGTCCTTCCAAAAAAGGTTAAAGGATTATGGTCACCGAAAACAAATTGGGACGATGCGCTAGTCGACTCAATTCAGTTTTCTCGCCTTGAGCGCATGGAAGTAATATATAATTGGCTATATCAACTAAGTTGAAATTGTAAATTGGCCACAGTAACGAATAAACCCACAATTACTCCGTTCGCTCTGACGAAAGGCTAACGCTCGAAACGTCAGCTTTTTTATTCGTTACGGTGGCAAATTTACAATTTCAACTTAGTTGATATAACCAATTATCTTGTTCCCCCCACCGACGCAGCACCACAGTTTCTTTAGAAACGTTCAGCCTTCATTCATTTGAAGTAATATATAATAGTCTTTCGATCACTCCTTGCGAGGGTCTTTGATAAAAACAGCCGTCAGGCTTGAGTACTTGTCGAAAGTCAAGAGATCTATTATGCTGTATACATTTACGTTTTGTTTTGTCATTGCTTTGGTAAAAATAATCTAAACAGCAAATGATCAATCACCACTTTACCCCTCTCCAGCCCCCTTTCTGGAGGTGACGATTTGATATCCCAGCAGTCCTAGCTAGATTAATTTTATTTTGTTTGATATATTCGGAAATGTTGAGCTTGAATTTTGAGGATTGCCCTTACAGGTTACTTGCGACATCTTATCTGGGTTTGTTTACATCTAAACAGGTATGATTTAAACACATATTTAACATCCTTTTCTTCAATACTGCATCCGTATCCATTGCGCTTTTCCGTCGCTATTCCCTCAACGTTCAGAGATGTACAAAAGCCAACTTTATTTCAGTGTTTACGTTTACTTTTGCCGTACAGATTTGACTTGTTACTTGTAAATTATTTCGATCAAGGTGGCATTTTCCCCAACAGAAGTACATGCAATCTTTCTGAGCTTAGAGATGATTAAAGAAATGGATAATCACGAGTGGAGGTCCATAAGTGTTACATAGGGTTTTTTTTCATATCTGATCCATGTTAGTAATTTTAGAGGTCCTTCAATATTAGAGTATATACTTCTATGTAAGTTGATTATCACCAATAAACCAAAATGTTTCTTACCAAATTTTTCTTCTTTTTCTTGTCAAACTAGCTTAGATTGGTCCGTAATGACTGACTGGCAGACAAATGGATGGAGTGATCAACTCACTGACTAACTTACTGACTGAATGCGTAACTTACCAACTGACTGACAGACTGAGGGACTGATTGGCTGTCACTGACTGACCGACTGAAGGACTGATTGGCTGTCACTGACTGACAGACTGAGAGACTGATTGGCTGTCACTGACTGACCGACTGAGGGACTGATTGGCTGTCACTGACTGACCGACTGAAGGACTGATTGGCTGTCACTGACTGACAGACTGAGGGACTGATTGGCTGTCACTGACTGACCGACTGAAGGACTGATTGGCTGTCACTGACTGACAGACTGAGGGACTGATTGGCTGTCACTGACTGACAGACTGAGGGACTGATTGGCTGTCACTGACTGACAGACTGAGGGACTGATTGGCTGTCACTGACTGACCGACTGAAGGACTGATTGGCTGTCACTGACTGACAGACTGAGGGACTGATTGGCTGTCACTGACTGACCGACTGATTGACTAACTGACTGAATGAACAGAAAATTATGAGCAAATGAATAGATGAACTGATGGATAAACAAGCTAATGAACAAATGAAGGATGAACTGACTGCTTGAACATTTGACTGACCACTGACTGATTAACTTAGTGACAAGCATACTAGTTGACAGACTCACTCACTGACTGATTAGCTGACTGATAAACTGACTGACAAATTGACTTGACACATATCGCTTTGACAAAGAGCTAATGCTCAATACATAGCTCAGAAACTTTTTATAGTGGCCAATTTTCATTATCAACTCAGTTATCCATTGACTGACACACTGCCTGGCTGAATCTTGTAAACTTTGCCACTCATTTGCAGAATCGAATCAGGTAAAGAAAACTGTTATTTGATCATTTATTTGATCAGCCTTATAATTTACCTCAGACAGGCAGTCTATTTTGCCAAAAACAATTACACTAATTTGATTAACTAGGTTGCACATTATCTTCTATCCATCTCTTATTGTGTATAGGAGTGACTGTTTTTCAATTGCAGTCTTGAAATTACAGATTTTCAAATCAAACAACAGGCATATACAGTCAAACCTGTATTAAGCGCCAGTGTACTAAGCAGTCACCCTGTATAATTTAAGCAGTCAGTTGTCAAAGTCCATAATTTGTTTCCCATTAGTCACTGTAATTTTCACCTCTATTAAACAGTCATGGTCACCCTTTACTGAGTCTCAATGGCCTGTTTATACTGTCTTTCAACTGTATTGAAGGGGTTACTTGTGGGGGGGGGGGGAAATCACTCAAGTAAAATGGAAGAACAATCCTTCAAGTAAAATTTAATCTGTCTATCCCCTAAATAAATGTCAGTGGTAATTTTTTATCAAGTTTTTGTACACAAAGTAGTCAATTGTCACATGAAATTGCATTTTTATTGTTTCTGATATTACCCCTATTCTATGGAACCTGTCTTAAGCGGTCAACCTGTGTGGCTGGATCCAGAAGTGACTTGACAGTATCAGCCAGGCTGATTACTCCTGGAACGGTTCTGGTCATATTATGGATCTATAATTCATGGATCACTCTGGATCTAAGCCCTTCTTGTTCTTCTCGTCACAGGTTCATTTGAGGGGTTCACAGTCATTCTCTGAGGAACAAAGCTATTGGCGAGATACTGAAGGATTACATCTGAACTTAGGAATGGCCTGTTTTAAAAGTAAAAAAGATGCAAATTTCTCACAGTGAACTGCCCAATTTATTCCTTCAAATTTCCCAGTGAGAGGCTCCAGCATAAATGTTTCTTCCTTTAAGGTGGTAGTGATTCAGAAGTAGTTGATAGGTAAATCATGCAGATTTGATCCTTAGCTTTCACACAGAAACTTTTAAATTTTTATTTTGCTCTTCCCACTGTAGGTTTTCTGGTGCTCTGTCATTTGTGTTCATTATTGAGAGGCACTGTATATTGTAATGAATTATTATTATTTGTGATCTTCCACTGTTTTTATGTTTTGCAGGCCAACAACAGTCAAGCCTTACACAAGCGTTTGGTTGTATATGCATGGCACTTGTTCTGAAATTTGCATGCTACTCTATAATTCTAACAGGTTAAAAAGCTCTACTTTGATCCAAACGAAATCTCTTTTAGTAAATTAAATGCTGATACTTGCACATAGCATCATCCTGCACATGTTTGTTCTGAGTTTGTTCCTCTTGGCATCAAAATAGTTACACAGACTGAGATGTTAAAACTAACTGTGCGTGTCTCAGCTTTAGGAGAACAGGAAGTGATAATTAGGATCCTTAGCATCACTTACAGTGCAGTTTACGCTTAGTTCAAGGCGGTCATGCATGCATCATTAAACATTATAAATATATCTTCAGATGGTTAAATTAATGCATTTAGTATGAGTTGGCCTTCAAGCAAATCACGAAATTTTCCTTCTGTTGTGGTAACATTTTTCAATAACCACTCATAAAATATCGAAATAGTCGCAAGTTTGGAAAAAATGAAATCGAAAGTGGACTTCCGGGCAAACCAAACGAGCGATGAGATAAGTGTTGTCTACAAAAGAGTCGGCTCAGGAAAATCAAGAATATGTCTAGGCAGAGATCGAGAGGCATTGCTCTGTCAGCATTGTGGTATTTATGCTTAAATAAGCACGGAAACTTCATATGCAAACACATTACGCGTAACGATCTCGAGTACAGAAGACACTGTAATTGACAGCTGTCAAAAACACTGTATGAATTTCTGTAAAATTCAGTTATTTTTGGGACTTTGGGTCATCTATGTGCTGATCGAAACCGAAAGTGCAGCAGGCGCGAAATTAAATTGAATTACTCGGCGCCCATGAATATCATTGGATAATCGGCCAAAACAAATTATGACTGTAGCTTGTTTTGAGAATTTATACTGACGTGCAAATGCGTTTATATAGATTGTACCAACCAGCTCATCAAAGCAGTACTGAACCTCGAATGGACAGCGTCAGGAAGATCTTTCAGAAAGTAAGTTATTAGTGCACTTTCGTCATAGGGTAGAAATGGGCTTCCAATCTAATTCCAGTCGATTTAAGTGTCGAATTTTCTTACACCTCGCGCTTCCTTATATTCCCCTCAGATATCAAAACGAGGTCGTAGTTTTAGTTTATCTTCATCCAGATTTCATACGTCGGTTTCATTGGTGATTCTTTTGCGAGTGATCTGAGCTAGTGGAAGGAAGAAAAATATTTTCAGTGGTGAATCGGGAAAGTGAAGGAAAAATTGACAAAGACGATGCTATCAAGTTGAATGTGATTCCCCTCTGTCGGTGGAAGCGATTTTTAAACGGCAGTCTTCAATTTTTACATGCAAACACTGCCGAGAAGACCATCGTAATAGATTGAGTACTCTTGTTAGCGTCTGTTTATTAACAATACATGTAAGTAATGAAGGGGCAATTACTTGATAATCCAGTGTGTTTTATCTACACTTTTTATGCTTTTAACGTTCATTTAACATTCCTTTCTGTACGTCGTATTATGTTTACATATAAGTGGGGATTCCCCAGTTATATTACTTTCGTCGATTTAAATTTGCGTGCAGCTTGCTAGAAAGATCATTGCAAAATTCTAGCAAAATCTTCATAACTTACAAACAGTGGGTAACTATAACTGAGAATGTCACACTTCCTACAAAACAGAAAGTAAATTAAGTGATTTCGTAAACTCGTGATTTTGATTTCTCTCGACGAAGCACTTTCAGTTTCAAATCTATCGCCAGAATAGTGTTATTCCTTGGGATCCAAAATAACTGATAACAATCACCTACCCAAAGAGGTTCGCTGAACACAATAGCATTTGGTGTGCATATTGACGATGAGTAATGCTAGGAGAGTATTCAAACACAACTGCGTTGTCGTAGACACATTTTGATTCAGCAGGGATGACGCGGCCTCGGAATGAGTTGCTCTTATGCATGATGACGTCATTTACTAAACATTTACCGCTAAACACTTTCACTTTCAATTTCGTTTTCCTTCGATGGAAGCGAGAACGCTGACTGCTAACCCTCCCCGGAGAGATTCGTTCATTTATGCAATGAACGCCTCCCGGTTAGCTCAATGGATAGAGCGCTGGACTGTTGTGCGGGAGGTCAAGGGTTCGAGCCCCGGCCGGACCAACACTCAGGGTCTTAAAATAATTGAGAAGAAATTGCTGCCTTTCTATAGCATCAAGAAATGGTTGGATATTCTAGTCTTCTCGGATAGGGACGAATAAATGGAGGTCCCGTCTCCTGCAGCGTTGGGGTAGGAGACGTTAATTTCCCACACACGAGATTACTGTGTGATGGATGTCCTCCGCTGGGGTGGGATGGGTGGGTTTACAGAGGGCCATATGTCAGAAAACTCTTTACTAGGTTAATCATGTATTTACCCTCTTGAAATAATGAATATTGTAATTGTAATTGTAATGATGTATCCTCCCTAAAATAAAATGAAAGAAGAAAAAATGTAGAATCCTCTAACTTTGGAAGGGTACCCCAGTGCTCCGCTCTCTCTTGAAAGCCCATGTTAAATTCTCTTTCCATATCATATTTACAGAGCTTACTTTTGGTAAAGGGAAATAACATGAGGAGATTGCCTAGGATGACTGCGTTTCGTTCGTTTGGACCGCTATCTCGATCTAAGGTAAGTTTAGGTACTATTTGTGAGTTTTGAAACTTCATGGTCCTAATTGGGTACTGAGATAACTGTTCTAGGTATTGTAGAAGCAGTGCCGGCATTTATGTGATTATTTTTGAGAACGCCCGAAGCCAAGTTTATGACATCCAGGGTAAAACTACGCTGAAACAGTGGAACAAGTCCACTGCCACTAATCGACTTCATCTTGACGTTTTTTCTCTATAGGGTGGACAATATACCACGTCCGGGAGTGGACGGTACATCAAGGAAGGAGGGATCAACAGTGGAGAGGTTTTGTTAACTAACCGGGTCATGACTCCTCCCCTGGGAGATGGTGCGTTACACCTCCAATCCACTCATGTCGGCCAGGATCGCCGCACAAGAAAGCCTCAAAACCCTGAGGGGTGGCCGATAAAGTTTGAGGGCTGGATGCTAAGCTACCAAGCTTAGGCTTGGAGTGGTGCTTCTCTCTACATTTACACTCGAGCCCTTTTGCCTCTCCCCACTTCAACTCTTTAACCTGTCTCACAGGGCTCGAACTAGCTAGAATATTACAGCAGAACAGTTTCTTTAGAAATTTTCTGTTTTAACCACTCGTTTAAATTTGTTGGGGTCAATGTGGCATGGTCCTTATTTAAATATTCCTCAAGTGTGACTTAAACACATACCATGCACCTAGGTGCGAAACTCGGTACCTAACAATTCATTCAAGTAAAACTTCTGAAAACTGGATAGGTCTTGAAGGCTGCTTAGCCCCTGCTATGTGATATGTATCTATTTTACTCGCTCAGAAATGCGAGTTGAGTACCTACGATGTAGTTTGGGTTGAAATCGTATCAACGGCTTAGATTCATTAAGGAACCCCTAGTAGAGTTCTTTGCGCTAAACTCCCCATACAAACTGTAGTTCTGGCAAAAATTTCAGCCATAATTTATTTAAGAAAACATTTGCCCGTGTATAATTAAAGAGTAAGGTTTTTTAAAAGTTAATTTGATAAGATTTTAATTTGTACAATTATTTTTTTAGTTTTTGATTTTGTACTCTTTAGTTTATTCTATTTCGTCATGCAATTTTAAAAGGATTATCCTCAGTTAGTTTCCTGAAAGAAAATATATTGATACTTCAATAAAGTTGCTGCCAACAGTCTCCTTTGATGGTTGATATCACTGAGAAACAGGCACTTCAAAAGGGAGCATTATAACATGGTCTAGGGGACCCCTTAGACCACACCCTTTCCTGGGTGAACCAATTCGATCATTTTGCATGGGAACAAGATCCATTGGAATAAAAGGAAACATCACAGAAAGGAGAAAGCGATATAAAATGGATTTCAGTCGCTAATAGTTGAACAATGGGCAATAACATGGGCTGAAATTGACTTTTAGCTGTAATTCTAAACAGTGCGTCCAACTTTTTCCTTGAAAATTTGTCAAAACATCCCGCAGGATCTGAGATTTTCTAATTTTATTGCCGGCTTAATATCTTTCCTAGTTCGTTCGTTAGATATTTCCTTATACCCATTCTTCCTTTTAGTGTTTCGTTTTTTCACTTTTAACTGCCAGCAAGTTCTTTTCCACCGACACTATTCTTGTATTTATCATGGCCTCATAGTGAAATCTTATCACTCCCCATTCTGTCTCTTTTTTGTTCCCCACATCGCTATGCCGATACAGCATTCCACTTTCCTTTTCTGTTCAATTTTTCTTTTTTTACTTTCTTGTCCGTTATCTTCCTTTCCTCTTTACTTCCTCTTCACCTGCTCTCTTTCGCCATATTTTGATTCCTCTTGCATGCTAATAGGTGTTTTCCTTTGCTTTAGGTGCGTGCACCTAAAGCAAAGTTTGTGTGTGCTTTTGTGTCTCCTTTTTCCCAATATCCCATTTCCTTCTCGCCTTCCCTGTAAGAAACAAATGGAAGCTCAGTCCTTCCTATGAGGATAGTCCTAAAACAAAAGTTTAAGGATTGCGGTAACCATAAATGAATTGGGAAGTCTTCAACTTCCATAAACCTTACATCTCATCATGCCTTGAGCACAAGAAAACACGAAGTGCCTTTCTTCCCGCCCTACCCCCTCCCGAGGTAACGATTTGATATTCCAGCAGCCCTAGCTAGAGTGTAATATGAAAGTATGTCAACAGTCCGTCCGTTAAATGCACTTAAATCAGTTTTCGACCTTATATTTAAGGTTTCACCGATTTAATCTACTTTTTTTGTTGGATACAGGAAATGTTGTGTTTACATTTTTGAGGATTCCCCCTATGGGTTACTTGCGGCATATTTTGTGGGGTTTGTTCACATCTAAACAAGCAAGATTTCATCACACATGTATACAGCATTATTATTTTCCTTAATACTGCTACTGCGTCCACTGCGCTTCTCCACTGTTTTTCCATCATCGTTCAAAAATGTACAAAACCCACATAATTCAATATTTACATTTACTTTTGCTTTACATACAGATCTGACTTCTTATTTGTAACTTCAATCAAGGGGACATTTTTCCTAACAGAACATTCTTTCTGAGGATAGAGTTTATCAAAGAAAAGGATAATTGCGATTGGAAGCAGGTCAATGAAATGAGGTCCATAAGTGTTGCAAGGGGTATTCTGATCTCTGATCCATGTTAGTGATTTTAGAGGTCCGGACCCTTCAAGAGTTACTTTGATTTAAGTTGACTATCACCAATCAACCAAAGTGTTTCTTACCTAATTTGTCTTTTTCTCATCAGAGCAGCTTAGCTTGTTCCTTATTATATGGCTGTGTCTCACAAGGACTGGGAACTACCGAATTCATGAATTTGATTGGCTGAAATCATTATTGAAAGCGGTCTAGATTTTCCCATCTAGACCATCTGTTCCATTGCTTTCTAGACACAGCCATATAATAAACATTTTATTGACCGAGCTAGGTCGGTCTGTATGGGAGAATCTTGACCTCGGTCGCTGGTACAGACCTCACTGCGATCAGTCTGTAATGGTGACCTCGGTCAAGATTCTCCCATACAGACCTCCCACTCGGTTAATAAGAACTTAGTAATGACTGACTGGTAGATAGATGGATGGAGGGATCAACTGACTGACTGACTCAACAGAAAATTAACAATTGAATATATGGACTGATGGATGAACAAGCTGACTTCCTGAATATCTGGCTGACTTACTGACAGACTGACTAATTGACCAACTGTCTGAGTAACCTCCTGGCTGAATCTTGTAGACTTTGCCATTCATTTCTTTGCCGAACCAGGTAAGGAAAAGTAGTATTTGAGCCTTTAGTTCATCAGGTTAAATACTAGACTGCGTCTTTTGTGTTGAATTCTTGGGAAAGGCTCTTTACTCTCATTCCACTTCTCTCCACCCAGGAATGAAAATGGGTTTGTGAAAACTGTCAGGATAACCTATTGTAATGTGGGGGATTATTCTTGGATGGGCTTGCATTCCACCCAAGGGGAATTAGCTGTATTTTCAAGTTGTTTTATGCTATGGTTCCTAGGTAGGATAATTAAGCTACAGCTAGATGAGCCACTTGGCTAGATTGCAGACTTTACTATAACCCAACCTGCCTTTTTTTTTTTAAGGGAAGAATTTATCATATTTGATTAGTCACTTCCTTCGTTGCAATTCAGTTTGTTCTACAAAATATTAGTCCAAAGAAAATTCTGATCGCCTGATCGGTCAAGTCTTAGAGATGTTTTACTTGGCCACAGAGATATTTTGTTTGCCTTGGACAAATATGGGGCATGTGTTGATGTTGAATACTGCTTGTCACAGGTCTGGTTGTACTAGGGATCTATACCTTGTGGATCACTTTAAATCTAAGTAATACACCTTCAAATTGTCAGGTAAATGTCGCTTTGATACGGTTCATTCTAGGGGTTCACAACCAATATTTTGGGGGAAGAAGGCTAATTGGTGAGATACTATGTGATTATTGTTTGCCTAAGGAATGGCCTATTTTAAAAAGTACTGAAGATGCAAAATTCTCACAGTGAGCTGCCCAAATTGTTCCTTCCAATTTCCCGGTAAGAGAGATGTTTTTGTTGTTGTTGTGAGGAAGGGGGGAGGAAGTTATGTGTAAATTTTCTGCAAAAATTTTTTTCCCTTTAAGACTATTAAGTAGAAGTTTGTCTGGTGAATCATGCAGATTTGATTCTTGGCAGTCACTTGGCAGCTTTTAAAATGTAGTAACTGCTCTTCTGACGGTAGAATTCCCAGTGTTTCATCACTTGTGTTCATTATCATGTTACTTTGTTTTTTTGTTTTACAAGCTACACAGTGACTATAATTTTAAACAGGTTAGAAAGCTCTACCTTGACTTGTATTAAATCTGTTTTAGTAATAACTAATGCTGCCCGGCTTGCACAGCATCATGCTGCACATATTTTTTCTGAGTTTGTTCCTCTTGGCTTAAAATACTCACACGGACAGAGATGTTAAACTTAACTGTGCGTGTCTTGGCTTTGTGGGCGAAATAGGAAGTGATGATTAGGGCAAGAATGGAAAACAAAAAACCGAAAGTTGACTTCCGGGAAAAAACCCGTTACGCCATATATATATACCTAAATTTTGTTTACAGAATTAGGCACAGATCAAAGTTCATTGCTTTGTCGGCATTTCTGAAAATTCTGTCAAAGCCAAGAGTTAAGTCCACCAAGCGTGAAATTAAAATCAGGTTCTCCAGTATCAAAGGCCTTATTGGATAATCGGTCAAAAAAATGATTATAGCAGCGTATTTTGATTATTTATAGACCGTGCAATTACGTTTTAAAATAGAGCTCGTCAAAGTAGCATTGAACCTCGAATAGAAAGCATCAAAGAAATCTTTCAAAGAGGTTGTTTGGAAGAGCAAAGGTAAATTGTTTGTGCACTTATTCGTCAGATCACGCCAGCTTCCTAGGGTAGAAAGCGGCTTCTTACATCCAGATTTCTTTCCGTCCACATCATTACTAGAACTGACGCTGAAACTTTAAAATTGTGCGAAACGACTTCGAAATTAGCAATCTCGCATCGGTGATGCTTTCGAGAGGGATCTAAAGAAACGGACGGGTAAAAGCGATACTTTTAAACCAAGAAAGCGAGAGAAAGATCAACAACGAAGAGAGGAGAGGATACTATGAAAGTTAATTTGATTTCTCTCTGTCTAAGCACAATATCACATGTGGCAGTTTTAATTTTTTTCGCTTGAAATTTGCGGTCGAGAGAATAATTGCTGTAGGTTATTCTTTTCAGCGTTTTCAACCGGTCTTATTAACGATAGGTAATGATAGGACGATACATTAATAATCCAGTGTGTTTTATTATACGTTTTATGTATTCAACTTTGATTTCTTACTTCGTAGTCACATACGCACCGTAAAATAATTCTCTATTTTTAGTATTGTTTACATGCATGTCATTAATTTCGCGGGGAATACCCGGCTAAGTTCTGCTATTTACATCGATTACATTGTCTAAATGATAGTAAAATTCAAGCAAAATGTTGATCAGTTACAGACAGTGGGCAAGTAAATTTTGTGATTTCGTGATCTTGATCTCATTCTCCCTTCACACAGCACTCTCAGTTTCAATTTCGATCAGTTGTCAGTATTATGTTATTTTTTGGGATTCAAACTGACTGACAATTAATCCCTTACCCAAAGAAGTTCTCTAAAGACAGCTGCATTTTACTACTCTTTTTAAAGTTTCGGAGTGGTCTACTAAGATGTAGAATGCTAGGATGTTTGCTCGGGTGGATGTTTCTTATTATGCATTTTCACGCACCTTCAGCTATCATTTGTCGTTGTGTTAATTGTCGCACACATTTAAATTCAGCGGGGTTACTTCGGTCGGAAAGCCTCGGAGTGCACTAAAATATTTCTTGTTCACATGACGTCATTTGCCGAAAAGCCTCGTTTGCACTTTCGGTTTTAATTTTTTCGTTTCGAAAATGAAAGTCTTCCGGTCTTTTAACGTTGCATCCATTTTGAATGGCAACAATTTTGTTTAGCTGGAAACCTTGCTGGTACTGTCGTGAAATCAAAGCACTCATCTTGTGGAGTGTATGCTGTATTTTCGAACGCTGCCACGGGGTAAATTTGAATGCAAACACTAAGGGATTTGAAAATCTTGAAATGGGCCCATACGACTGATTTTTAACAAGTGAACATATCCCTAATCTGCCTTCGAGTCACTTAATTGTTGATGAAACAATAAGACGGAAGAATTTAGGTCAGACAAGTGAGCATGAACAAATTTTGTTCCTTTAAATTCAGATTACACTCCTTCAGCATTATGCTGAGCTATTCATCCGAATCGTGATGAATCCTATGTGTAACGATAATACTGAGTTCAGTGTGATATCTCTTCTTCATAAAGGTTTAAATGGGCACTAACCTCACTTCATTTGAAAAGAGACGTCACTTAGCATGATCATGACTTGTTGTATTGGGATCGCGGGATATTTGTACTTGTCTTGGTCGTTATTTGTTTGCTAAAAACTAAAATTCGTTTCGAGGGCTGAAGGCTCGACGAAAATCATCTTCAGATAAACTGGGCAGACTTACCAACATTCCGATAAAGTTTTAGAGACAAAAAGCGATATGAACCTGGTCCTCGATCCTATCACTGAGTAAGCTTTCTGTTTTTCTTCGGCTACTGCCCCTTCCCCTGAGAGTTTCCTTCTTTCATACCTCTACTCCTTAAATTAGATACAAAAAAAAAAAAAAGAAAGATCCTCCAGCACCTTTATAAGAGTAAGCAAGCCCTCCGCTCTCTTCCGAAATCTCGTATTAACTACCATTTCCTTATCATGTTCGCAGAGTTTAGGTTGACAATGTGGAGACCTCTGTTCAGGAAGACTGCGTTGCGTTTGTCGGAGCTTCGTGGGGTAGCTGGTGTTTCAACGCTCTCACGACCTGCAGTAAGTTCAAGAACGAGCATAGTCCAGAATTTATAAGTTTTGAAACCTGACTGTCCTCCTTTGGTCCTGAAAAAACCGCGCCAGGTAGCGTGGGTGGAGGGGAGGGGGGAGCAAAATGTCAAGCGTGAAATTATACTGATTCTTTGACGCAACCGCAGCGATTGTAATCCACACCTGGGGACGCGGCGCAAGAATGAGATGATATTATTGCGTAGTTTTTGAGGATACAGCAGAGTTCATGATATCCTGCGCAAAATTACCGTGAATCGTAGAAACAAGTCCACCGCCGGGAACGTAACCTGAGTTCGAGACAACGGGTTAGAATTTACCATGATAAACTGAATCGAAATGCACAGCTTGCGAGATATAGAGAGTGAAAGAAGAGTAACTTTTTAATGAAATAACATCCTTAGAGGAGGAGGGGCAGGATGGGTTATACTTGTGGACTAGTCATTATTTATTTGGGGGGGGGGCTGGGGGAGTTTGTGTGTCACATATTGTATCTCAGTAGATTTTATAAACCTACCCCCCCCCCCCACCAAAGGCCCTGTAATATTCTAATCAATTTTGTTTGGTCCTCCAATTATATTCTGTCCCTCCTCTTCGAAAACCATGTGATCCTCTCCAAAAAATCTTGCTACCCCCAGCCCCATCCCCTTCCTAGGCGATAGGAAAAAAAAATCTGTTGCCTTGGGTGAATTACAAAATTCTATGTCAAGGGATGTGTCCTCAGCTATTGATTTTTTTTTTTTTTCATATTTTTTTTTTTGGAACTTTGCTGCTTACCGTAACTGCTCCACACTTGGCACTGTGCAGGGTTCCTTCCTGAAAATAAAGAAGTCACGTTGGCATCGTGCATTCTCCTCTGCATGCGGTGGGTATATCTGCCAACTGATTCCTTTGAGTTATCTTGCAATTGCTCCTATGATTCTGTGGTAATTTACTAAATAGCCACTCCGTATTCCACAGGGGACTTGAGTGGAACCTGGTACAATCAGTCTGGTTCAATGATGCAAATCATCCAATCAGAAAATGGAGAATTGATAGGCTGTTACCACAACTGCGCACCTGGTTCTACACCTGCTAAAGAAAAATTGTCTGGTAGTGTGGGAAAAGAAGAACACGCCTCTCAGTTTGGCTTTACTGTCAACTTCCTGGTAAATAAGAAGAAACTAAATTATTTTTTGAGGGTCTCTTACTGTTTATGGGTCAAACTTGGAGATCTCCTATTTATCGTGCTGGACCCCGGATAAAAAGTTTGTTGTTCTGTGTCAATCTAAGATAATCGACTCTCACATTGCCTCTTTCCACCGCAGAGAGTATCGTGGTACCAACGAGATATCTGGGAAGCTTGAGTAAACGTTGTAGAAGGGGGGGGGGGTGGGAACTAACGATGGACTCTTTCAAAAAGAGTAGAAATATTCCTGGTTGGTATGAAACCGGGAAAAGCTATGACATAATGGACACTGAGCTCGTGTGCAGACTTGGTTTTTTTTTTTTACTTACGGTTCGTGTTATCAATTTTTGGTCCGAACTGTACTGAGCCGGAGGAAGTACCACATTTGGCCACACCGAAAATCAACCTCGTTCCAAGGGTCTCTCATCTTCCAGCCATCTGTCTCTCGCTTCAGGGGGCTGGAAGATTAGAGACCGTGGGAGCAAGGCTGACCGAATATCTTTCAGAGAAACCCGGCAAATATAATTTAAAAATGAAATGCAACTGAAACTTAAGTGCTATTAGTTACGGTATAATCCTAGCTAACCTTCGTAATGTCCAAAAGTTCTTTTGTGAAAACATGTTATGCGAGTTATTTTTCCACCTATGATCGAATGAATAACACACAAGAAAAATACTGACTAAACTAAGTCCTTTAAACTTTTTATCATAACATATTTTGACTGGCCACTGTTTGTTCTTTGAGGCTCTTTATAGACCGGTGTCATGACGAGAGAATTCGACGTTGATACATCATTAGTTTGACTGTGCGAGAGTTAGGACTGCGTTGTTGTTACAAGTAAAGTAAGAATTGACGTTTTTGCTTCGTAGGATGGATGGTTTACTACGTCCTGGACCGGACAGTACATCAAAGAAGGAGGCGCCGATAGTGAAGAAGTTCTGGTGGCTAATTGGATTATGACACCCAACCTGCAAGATGGTGTGCAACACCTGGAATCCATTCATGTCGGCCAGGATCGCTTCACAAGGAAGCTTCAGAACCCTGAGAGGTTGCCGTCTTTTGATGATTCGGAGCCAAAGGGGTGGCTGCTAGCCTACTAAGCTTACCCTGTTGGAGAAGTGCTTCTCACTGGATTTTGCACTCGGGTCCTCTTGCTTATTGGAGTTCAACTCCTCTACCTGTCTCACAGGGCTCGAACCGGATAGTATATCCAAGCAGAATAGTTTCTTTAGAAACTCTCAAGAGTTAACCCCTCTTTTCGATTTGTTGTGGTTAATGTGGCATGGTCCTTATCACAAATTAATTCCTCGTTGATTCAACTTTAGATCTTGAAAAAGTTTAGAGCAATTCAGTGAGTGAAGTACGAAGTCAGCCATGGGAAGCTTTAAGCAACCACGGTGTCCGGGAATATTTGTTACGAATTGGTTCATTGATTAAATGTCCTAGTAAACATTAATTATGTCACCCGGAATTGTAAATGATTGCTTTAGAGAGTGGGACAGACTTAATAATATTGTAAATAAAGTCCGTAGTTGAGAGAGAGAGAGAGAGAGAGATGTTGTAATTGCACGCGTTTAGTCCGTCTAAGAAGGAGAGGGAAACGCGCTGTTGGGTCGTAAGAATTAAACATAGACACTAGACATATTACAATAGGTTGGCTTGGGATTTTACTGTACTCGTGATTGTAGGAAAAATTCAAGTTACACAAGGCGAACTATGAATACTGTGGTAGATGTAGTTTAAGTTAGATTTTCTAGAACGTTTGAACTGATGCAACGAGAGAATTGATAGAATCATCTGAGCTGTTACGTTGGAATTGTTGGAATTGTTAGAATTGTTGGAAGGAATTGTTGGAACGTTGGCGGTGTTCGTCTAGAATAAATCTCAGAAAAGAAGATTGTTTACAGTCCTCTTCGATTGATATCGACTGCGGAGTTTTGTATAGATTCCGCGACACACGGCCAGTCCTGAAACTGAGAAATTAGTCAGAAATTTTTAGCTGGAAACGTCTGTATTACTCGCTCAAGAATATACGTTGTACCTAGGTTTGAAACCCAACGGCATCACGGTTTCCTTTCAGGCACTGAGGGTACTCCCTTTGTGCAAACATATCTGTTCCAAACATTAGGAAAGTGGATATATCTAAAGGGCTGCTGTGCTCGTGGAACGTTATGGGCTACGAATGTTTGTTTTAGATATTTTTTGAATTTAATTTGATAAGATTTTTATCTGTACACAATTTTATGATTATATATATTTTGAACTCTTTATCTTTGTCAATTTCAAGTTCATTGTGAAATTAAGAGTGTACTCAATTAGTTTCATTAAGTTAAATATATTGACACTTCAATCAAGTTGCTGCTACGGTCTCATGCAATGGTCGATATCAATAGCAAGTTATTCTGGTGGGTAAAATAATACTATATATCGGGTTTCTCTCAGACCACACTCTTTCTTGGGTGTACGTACCAAATTAATTATTTTGCGACCAATACCACCGTGGGATAATAGGAAGCGTCAGAAAATGGAAAAACCACGGCAGGAATGGATTTCAGTCGCCGATAGGTGAACAGTGAGGCTGAACATGGGTGAACTTGTTGCTGTAATTCATAATTGTGCGTCCAGGGCCAGAGGCCTACAACAGTTACATATGAAAATCATAAAAAAATACTACCGGGTCATAGATTTTACGCGCTCTGTGCTGTCGTCCATCGGACAGAGAGTTTTAGGGTACCCATCGGAATTCCTGGCACAATAACGCGGATAACGCCATCATCTACTGGGAAAGTTTTAATTTAACTTTCGGCATGGTAACAGCGGGCGCGGGGGAAAAGAGTGGAAACTGCGGCCCGAAAGATACCTCTGGAGGTTACAGAGGCCCGCGTTTTGGCCAATCCGCCAATCCTCTAAGGAAACATGAAGTGGGCAAAACCCGCGGGGGTGCGCAGGCGGTTTTTTGAGAAACTGTTATTCCAAGGTTTTACAAATGTTCTTTTAAAGTTTCCTGTGGGGTAAACGTCACTAAGCGCGTTGCCGCGTGATTTCGCGTGTTGTCTGTCCGCGGTGCTGTGTCAGTCGAAAAGCACTGGGAATTAGTTCTGAGTAAATCCGACATAGCGTCGTAAACAATTGCAATTATTATAGAACAAACCACCGATTTTGATACATAACAGTAGAAAAAACAGTATTTTAAGCATCAATCGCCTTTAAGTACAAGGAAGCTCTTGTCTGACGACGTTTGAACGGAAAAATGATGATACAAGGGCTGGAAAACTCTGCAATGGAGACCACGTTTGGCATTCAGATCAACTATCAAAGGTAAGGTTAAAGCCGTAATGAGGAATTAGTCTAAAAATTATGTAATTTGGTTTTATCAACTAAGTTGAAATTGTAAATTGGCCACCGTTAAGAGTTAAAAGCTGACGTTTCGAACGTTAGCCCGTAAACCGGCGGGAATATCGTTACTCCTGCTGGGTGGGATGCTAGTCTACAGTCTGTAGGCTACCCACCCAGTCCCCTAAAGCAATTCATCAGTTGCCCGTGCCCTTGTACGCTCCTGAATGTAGAGATGCGCTGTGAGGGTGAAGCATCTTACCGAAGAACACTGCACAATAACCTGGTCAAGTCTTCATCCTTTAACTTCCCTGAGTGACCAATTATTCGCCGAAGGCGATGTGAATATTGTCGAATAATCCCCGAGACGAAGTCAAAGGGATTATTCGACATTATAACCCACCCATTAATTTTGGCACGATTTTATTGGTTACTTTACGTTATGTGGTGCAAAATCACAGGGCAGTTATCATGTAATAACCCCCATCCACGCTGATATTTGTCCTCCGATTTTTTCCATGAAAAAGAAACATAGTCAACACAAGAGTTTCAACTTTTCCGTTCTCCTATTTACATGGAAGGAAAACAAACTCATTTTTTTTGCTTGCCTGCGTCAATCACGTGTATTCGCCATCAGATCACCGCTGGCTTTTTTACTGTGTGTATGCGCAGTTTAATTGCAATGTGAAAATTAATGGGAGGATTATAAAATAAATAAACCCCATTCTGGCTTGCTGGTATGTCGGCTGATAATGTCCTTGGCTGAGAGATTGTCCTCAAAATTTCATATTTGCCCTCAAAGCTTCGCTTCTCGGCCAAATATTCATTTTTCGGACAATCTCTCAGCCGTGGACATTATCAGCCGACATACCAGCCGCCCGAAGGGGTTTATTTACTAAATATTCACCGAACCTGAGGCGAATAATTGTTTTAGTATAATTTCAGAGCTGAACAACAGAGCAATTTCTAAAGTCATAACATTTTAGTAACATTTATTAACATTTTATTTTATCATTTTATATAAACCGCGCAGAGGGGTTTATATAGCTTCATATATGGAACTGCTCGAGCAATCAGATTGCTGGAACCCTTTGCTCAGCTCTATAATTATACTAAAAACACAACATCAAGCAGACAAGGGATGAGAATCAAGAAAAAAAATGAGGGAATTACTGGTTGATCCAAAACCAAATTCTCCAAACCAACATCGTAAGAGTTGTAGAGCAGATAGTAAGGAGAGTTGCGAATGAGATCTTGGGAAGGAAAGGGTTAAACCTGGACATGTTGACCCAGAGCTGAGCATTTGCAAATTTAGGGCACTACATTTGACCCACAACTTTTGTGGCCATCCTGAAGAGTGAATTAATTTTTGAAGTTATAAGTTCTTCTATTTCTGATATAAGGTAAAGTGGACTTGATTCTTACATTCCAAATGAGTATTTTTAGTTTTTTAAATAAGGCCCCATGATTAAAAAATGAAATTAAAAATTGCCAATTTTACCTTATCTATGAAGTTTTTCTTAAAATGCGGAAAAATATGATATTTTCATAAAACTGAAATTTATCCCATGAAGTACTATCGTTTGTGTCTCTGATTAGAGGAGGAATATGTTTTCACAGTCATTCGCTTCCAGTCTTTGTTGGTCATTATGAAAAAAATCTGAGTATGTATAAAATAAAAACATCATACAATGGAAAGTGCACACTTACAATTTTTATACACTTGTTGCAGTGCATCAAATAACTCACTTGTTCACTGTGCTTACTCATTTGCTTTTTGATGCATGTTAACTCATGAATAAAAATCATTAGTGTGCAATTTCCATGGAATAATCTCTACATTTTTTCAAATGATTTTGAATCAAGAAATTTAACTCAAGAAAGTAGGTCCTTAACATTGAAATTGACTTCAGTCTACTAATTATATTTATGTAGTGTAAAGGTTTCCAATAAGTCTGGTTTAATTTTTTTAAATGTGGGTTTCCTGACCTTCCAAAGTTCAGAAAATGGGGGAAATGGTAGGAGTGTTACAAAAACTAAGCCCCCTAAAATTGAATCTGTCAAAATATTAAGTCAAATTTTAACCAAAATAGGTCTAATCTGTCAAATTATCTCCTGTCTGATCCTTTCCACCAAGCTTTAGGTCCAATTTAACATTAAATTTAGGGGTCTTGTTTTCATAATTTCAAAAACAAAGACCCCTCTTAGTCTTGGTCATTACAAAAACTAAGACCCCCACCAACCCAATCTGTAAAATTTCTACAAAGTCAAACTATTACCGTTCAAAGACTATAATCCAAGAACTACTATCATACATGTGCTAGATGATCTGCTTCTTCAAACAGTTTGCCGACATATATTAGCATTGTGGCTTTAGAAAGAGGATGAAAGCCATGACTACCTAGGTATAATTGTACACTGAAAATATGCCCTACCCTTATTGGTCTATAATTATCGTTTAAGTCATAAAATTGATTTTCCACTGGTGATGGATTTTTGTCTTTGTTGTGGGCTGCGACCTGAATGCCTAATTGTCATGTAGTCAACAGCATTATCAGTTAAACATCACACAAAAATATGGATTTTTTTTTCATTTCCTGACTAGATCATAGATAGAAAAGTGCTTTAATAAAAGGGAGAAAAAAGGAGTATATGTTACATTGCATTTTCTTAAACTTTATTTTATCATAATGATTGCCACCCCAGAGATCTCTGGGTTACGATGTAAAGGTAGTTGAGGGGTATGGGTGGGGGTAAGGAGAAATAGTCTGTGAGGGATAATTGCTAAAATCACTCATTAAATAAAAAAAAAAAATTGAATGAATGAATGAATGAATTTCCTGTACTGGCAATGCATCATCTCGAGAAGTTTGAGTTCTAATTTCAGAACTATTAAATGAAAAAAAAACAATCATTACAAAGTGACAATTGCATGACAGTAGTTTGTCAAATTGCAGAGTCTACAAACTGTTAGTGGATCATAGATCAGCATGCGTATGATAGCAGTTTTTGGTTGTTTGATTAAGAGATTATAGTCTTTGAACAGTCATAGTTAAATCTGTGTAGAAATTTTACAGATTGGTGCAGTGGGGGTCTAAGTTTTCATAATGATGAAACCTAAGAGGGGTCTGACTCTCTGTTTTCGAAATTACGAAAACTAAGACCCCTAAATTTACTGTTAAATTTAACTTAAAACTCGGTGGGAAGGTTCGGACATGAGATAATTTGACAGATTTGACCTATTTTGGTTACAATTTGACTTTATATTTCGATGGATTCGATTTTAGGTCTTAGGTCTTAGTTTTCGAGGGTCTTAGTTTTCGTAACAGCCAAAATAGTAGGCAAGTTTTTGAGGCACAAGTGGATAAAACACCTGCACACAGTTTGTAGTGTTTGCGGCGACCAAAATTCTAAATTCTCAAGTTCAAGGAGGTGTCGCTCCAAAACGCGGTTAACGAGGCGTTTAGGACTATTTTACTGATCGAAATGACAAACCAAAGTTGACCGTTTGTACGAATCTTTATTCTTGAAAGGCAATTGACCACGAACCACAATCAATGATGAAAATAACGATTATTCTCACAATCAACCAATCTATTGATCGTAAACTGAAACAACAATACAAATGAAGTTCTATCAATCTACTGAAAAGCCGCGGAGTACATAATCAAAAAATCACGTGTAAAAAAACTGGGCACCAACGTCGATATCGAGAATAGCAATACAAATAAAACAGAACAAAAGTACCCATACAAATTAAAAGAAGTTTGGTGGCTGATTAACAGCCCATTGTTCTTATTTAAATTACGGGCGTTCACTCGCATTTGGCACGAATTTGGCCCTTAATCTTAAATCAGTAGATAATATGGCAATACCTGTTTGTATATTGTTGCCCAACACTGAAAAGACTAGACTAGAAAAAACAAAGTTATAAAGGTACTCACATATCGGTCCCGCTTGTGCCAGAGGTTGAGAATACGAAAGGGCGAAAGTTTACCAAGACTATTCAAAACTTACGAAG